ACCTGGGCCTGAGACTGCCGGACCCCATTTCAAGATGGCCGTTTCCAAGACCGAGAAGAGTCGGATCCCGAATTTGGAGAAATGGCAGGCTTTTCCTGAAGGCAAACGGGCCGGGATACTGGGAGGTCAGAAATGACCTGCTGCATCCGGAGGACAGGGGTTCCAGGGCCAAGAGCCCAGCAAGCACTCACTGCTGCGTGACCCAGGCCCAGGGACTGCCTTGCCCACAGCCACCACGACCTGGGGACCAGGGCAGGTGGACGTTGGCATCTATGGCTGCCAGGCAGATTTTCACGTCTTGGGGTACAGCTAGGAGCAGAACAGTGACGCACATGGCAGCTCTGTGTCTAAGCTTCAAGGAGCTGCTGAGACATTTCCCAAAGCAGCTGTATCCACTTACATTCTCACCAGCATAGCTAAGGGCTCAAAGGGCGCCGTGTTCCCGCCGGCACTTGGGACTGTCTCTTTCTCACTGCCGAGTGGGTGCAGTGTCCTCCCCTAGTCCTAGGAGAGAGCTTTGGCCCCCTCACCATGGCCCATACACATCGCCAGGACGGGGTGAAACAGCTCTCTTACTTTCTGTTCACCCCCGCCCCCGGCTCTGAGCACTGTAGAGATTCCACTTGGGGGTGTTCAGCTGTCTCCTCTGCAAGGGGAGGCTTCCGGTTTTTAAATAAAATCATAGTAATGATAACTATGGCGATGACAGCCGTGGGATATTTAACTGATGATGGCAGATCAAGCACACATCCGCGCTGCCCCTCAAGATCTGAACAAGATTGATGGTAAATAAATTGCACCAGAGACCGGCACCGGGGAGGGGCTGCACAGCTCCCATTGCAGCCGGAGTCTTCTGTCCATCGCAAGGACAGAAAGTGATGCAGCGCTTCTAGCAACAGAGCTTGTCAAGTGCAAACATCCGCTTTGATTAAAGATATTGTTTCAGAGGCCTAAAGCCGTGAGGGCAAGTCATGCGCGTCAGGCAACCTCACTGCGCTGGCCACCGTGTCCGCTGGGCCTTGCAGACCTTGGTCGGCCCTGCACCTCAGCTGCACAGCTTCCGGTCCCAGGCACCTCCGAGCCAGGGCAGGGCACAGGAGCAGCTCTGCAGCCCATCCTGCTCCTGGCTCTGGTCCTGAGGCTCCTCAGGGAAGCAAAGAGCCCCGCAGGCCCCTTGGTAAAATGGGGACAGCAACATTTATACCATCTCTTCCAAGGGTGTGCTGGCTGGACTAACCTGAGGCCAGAACTAGGTATAATCTTGTCTTACTTTTCTTAAGACAAGACCATGGGTGGTCAACCTATATCCCCCAGCTGAACTGAGTAAGCGTGGTGCTGGGTGTGGGAGGCCAACATGAGGACTGTTGCCAGCAGCATAAGAGGCAGAACTGGAGAAGAAGTGAGGCTGTTGGGAGCAGAAAAAGGCTGTTGGGAGCTGGTAGAAGCTGTAAGGAGCTGTTGGTTGTTTTGGAGGAGCTCGTCATGCTGGCTTT